GAACTTAGGCCTAACATAAGTTAAAGTTTTATAAAGTATGGCCTATATACAAGTGGATTTACACATTTCTTTGTTTACGATTACAATTTGTTTGTATTATGCTAGAAATATTATATTTAAAGAAGTATTGTTACGATAAAGATAATAATTTGGCTGGAAATGTTTTGTGAGTCGCTGCTAGTATAATAATATTTGTTTGTGTATAGATAATAACTAGACTGTGTACAATGTAAGAACTTGTTTAAGCCAAAAATTACATTTTGGTTTCTGTTGGGTGTAGTGGCACACATTATGAAAGTTAGGTGTGTTAAGTCAGTAATCTAACGAGGGCTTTCATCTTAGCATTAATCAGTTGTTCACATTTTTTCTGACCATTCAAACTAATAAAGAATTTAGGGCTTGAAAAGGATTATCTGATTTGACATTTGACATAGTTTATTTCAACATTGTTACTATTAAACTGCATTTGTTTAACCTAGAGCTAAATTTAATTTTTGATTAAAGATATCTAGACTTATGACTTTTATAATATTATAAAGGTATGCTGCTCTTGAACTTGATATTCTTAACAAGACAGTTAAGACTGTCATAATTGCATTTTTTGTTGTTGTCAAGTTCAAAGTTTTGTTGATGGTTAGCACTAATATTTCTGTGCCTGTATTTTTCAGCTTATTTTTGTTGATTTATGGTATGTGTGTAATTTGGGTTATTTATGGTATGTTATTGCCTTAATCATGAAAATAATCTAAATGTACACACTGCCTCACATGTTCTGTCACAATACTCTTGGTTATTCACATTGTCAAGATTTCTTTAGATATCTGTTTCAGCAGGTTTTGGATAGTAGAATTTGAGCTGGTTGGAATAGCTATTCTGACAATGCCATCATCATCAGATGCTGTTCTAATCTAATAATTAGCCTCAAAAGTTTTAAAAACATCCACTGAAATGAAATTTTAGTTATGTTATTTCTGTCATTACCTGGAATAGTTTGGATGAATTAAGAGAGAAATATAAGAACGTTTGAAGAGACTGCCTTCACATTTTCAGTAAGCTTTTAAGAAATCTGTTTTGTTTCTTTATAAAGCTCATAAACTGCACAAGTGCTTATTGGTTCTAACATGTCTGGACCAAACAATTTCTAATGATTGAGACTAGGGTACTTTAGCCTCTTTAGTTATTTGTAAGTTTTTTATTAGTGTTATTAGCCCTTCAGTAGAGACAGAGAGAGAAAACTACATAAAGAACCTTTCAGTATTGCAGCTCAGCAGTGAGTTCCAACTGAGTCTTGTATATACTTCTCTTAGATCTTTCTCATCATAATTTGTTGCCTCCTTTGCAGAGGGAGGTACGCTGATTCCATATGAAAGGTAGTAGACTTCAGTGAATTGGGTTAGCCTGACATGATCTAGTACTTTAGAATGTTCACTTACAGGATGCTTTTTGGAGATTTAACTTAAGAAGGTTTTGTCTAATCTATATGTGAATTTATCATAGTTATGGAAGTCTCGGCTTTTTTTTGTTGTACATTGATAGTTTTCAGCATTGTAAACAATGGCAATTTTTAACTTCTATGGCTTATAGATAAATATTTTGTATATTATCATCCATTGCTTTCTCTAAAATATTTTTCTAAATTTGCAAATCTTTTCTGCAATTCTTTCTTGCTGAGCTTTCTCTTTCCTGGTTATGTTCTGCAACTTTCCTTCTTTATATTAATGGCAGTTTCAACTTCATTTATACAGTATTCTGAACTACTTATGTTGGCATGTAACTTTTTAAACAGCTGCACTGCAAAATATGTGTCTATACATAATTCCTTTAATAAACATCAGACGTTCATGTTTAACTAAAACATAAATAGGACACTTACGTGTGCAGATACATATATAACAGTGACACGCACATTCAACAATTGTTGTGGTAGTACCATTTTCTTAAAAGATATAAATAGGTAACATATATCAAAATCCTACATTAATAACACAGTACCAGTTACAGCACAGTGTAAGATATATGACAACACTCAAGTAGCAGTCTGAATCTTAAACACAGCTTAGGTGAACTTGAAAGCTAAGTATCACCGTTAATCAATAAACAGTTACAAATCTTCATCTACAGCTGAGATAGTTTGCATACAGAGTAGCCCAAAATTAATAAGACTCTGGCACATATATAAAAGAAAAGTATTTTCTGGAAGCAGTCTATATCCAGAAAATTTACTGTAAGCACGAATAGAAGTACATTTCAAAGAGATTTATTTTATCATGAAAATTTGTGGTGCAACCAATTTTATACTGATTTAAAACAAAACCAAAAAACATTTGTGGTTCATCAGAGTATTATTACTTTTTTGGTCACTTGGAACTCTGAAACAAGTAGAAAATTTCAGTTATAGCTAAGATATTTCCAAATAAACGTATTGTTTATGGCCCAATAATTTTTCAGCTAAAAGTAATTTTTCTATAAACACCCATAATATAAAAGTGCTTGCTACAGTTAAAAAGCATACACAAGACTGAATGAAGTTTATATAAATTTCTCTGAACATACTTCTTAAGTGAACAGCTTTAACTAGAGGAAGAAAGAATGTGTTAAACAATACATATTAAATACATGTATGTTCAAGAATGGAACAAAGTATTATTATTAACCCTAGAATTACTTTAAGGGTTCATATGGACCCTACCTGTTTTGTAACACACACAAATTGCTTGCGGGTCCCTGACTTTGTTGGTTATAGGGCCCTAATAATATGTAAGTCACAAAAAATTCAAAGGAAAATACCATTAATATTATAATTAATCCAACTAAGTAGTGTTGGGTTTTCCTATTTGTTTATATAGAAAAAGAGTGGTTTCACCCAATATTTATTTTCAGTTCTTTACATTGAATGTTGTAACAGGAAAAAAACATAAAAATTACTTGATATGTTGACCTTGCTAAGAGTGAATGGTATAAAAACAAGTTAGTAATTTTAGGGTTAATACTTCTGTTGAGAAAGACAATTTTCCATATCTTTGGTCACTATTTAGTTTCATTTGCAATTAGATAATAACATGACAAATGAGTTGAAATCTTAATGATGTAAAAGCAGTAATGTAGGTAACAATTAATCTAGTGATTGTTTTATGATGGGAACTGAAAATCTTGAAATGCTATATATATATATATCTTTAGTTACTTACATGTTCTGCAAACACATGCATTTTTGTTAAAAACATGATTGGAGATGAGATGTATTTCATTTATTGTATTGCATTGGCTCATTTACCAAGTAACACATAATTTATTCAGTAGCTTAAATTTCTTTGGTTGGGTATTTCATATTCATGGGTTATTTTTAAAATGCCTTAGGGTCTAAACATTTGATCTGTACTTTTACACTGTTTTCTTGTATTTCTTTTCAACTCAAAGACGATGGTCACTTTGTTTTTCCCACACGTTTAGAATGGGATGATGAATTTCAAGGTAGGTCAATTTTGCCAGCCACCTTCTAACCTAGAGACCTAGTCACTACTTGAAACATCTCAGGAAGATACCAAGTCATGTAGGCTCTGTACTCCTTCTTGCTTATGCACAGTTCTGGAGGCTTCAGTTAACTTTATTCTCTTATTTTTTTCTTGTTTTCTCTTTATTTAACTTTTCTAAGAACTTCAGCTTGTAATGATGAAACTAATTTACTTATAAAATACCTAGTTGATATGGTATGATTTATTTGTTTGAAAAAAATGAGTACTTCTAATTCTTTTGTAAATCAGCAGTTACATTTAATATGTAGTGTACTTTTTAATCTCAATTACTGTGTCAAGATAATATAACTTTTCCTTATCCAATATGTATCCAAAGATATTCAAGATATGTTTTTTTAAAAAGTCATTTGGTGATCATTACATATACTTGTAAATGCACTTAATTGCACTAAAATTATGATTCATTCAGTAAACTAATAAACAAAAAAGTGTATCACCACAGATGTTTTGGTTTATGTACATTGTAACTGTAAATTATAATGAACAATATTATTTCAGTTATGTTATAATTTTTTTTATTAATATTCAATTTAAAATTTAGATACTTTTCATTTTGTGTATCTATTATATCGACAGTGTATCTATTCTTTTGACAAGGGTGGATGTATATGTTGTGAATTTTTATCAGTTTAAACTAACAACGTAGTTATGTATTCATCCAAAATGTTTCTGATTTAATTTTTTTGGAGCTTTACTTTTCATCTTTGTTCTGCATGGAATGCTGCGTTAATTTAATTTTGTCGGTATACTTTTAATTCTTGTAGAATATAAAATAACACATGGTTGTGATTTTCAAAATTTTTGTGTATTGCTTTGTTTTTAATAAGTTCATAATCTTTGTTATTCATGGAATAATATTCAAAATATATTGGTCCATTTATGCAGTATGGTATCAGAAATAATCTAGTAGACTTAGTGAACTTTTTGTTGTTACTTTTTACAAACATTATAGTTTTCATATCTAATGATAACGTATTCTTTTAGTAACTACATTATTTCACTTACAAGTAAAACAGTATATTTAATGCAAATGAAAAGTTATTGAGAAATTTTGCTGTTGTTATTCTAATGCTAACTGATTTATTTTGTAATAATGGGTTTTACATAAGTTTAATGTTTTTTTGTTTTGAAATTCTCACTTATATAATTAGTATTTTAAACTTCTAATGTTTTGTGGGGGCCATTTATATAGTTTTGAACAAAACTTCCAAGGAACAAATGTTACTTAATAGCATACTGTGAGAAATTGGCCTGAATTATTTACATGTAGTTCTCACTTATGGTGATGTGCCAGTGGAAGAGGAAGGAGAGGGTTGCTCACTACCATCAAATGACTCAGAAAGTCCAGCATTGTATCCAAGGCACCATGGTCCTCATAAGGTGGCAGGTCTCCCCAAAATTGAGATGGTTCGTCCAGCCCATGTAGCTGAGGGAGATAACCCTCTTACACCAGGTCATGCTGATCTGCAGAAAAAAGGTATTGTTTAGCTGAAAATTAAAAGTAAACTTTTTGAAACTGATATAAATAAACTAGTCACTTAAGTGTTGGGTTCATAGTAAAATTTTTACTTTAGAAATCAAATACAAAAACAACCTGTGTGAAACATGGTGATAATGAAGTATGACAGGTAGAACATATAATAAAAATTTACAATACAAATTTACTACTGCAACAGGAAAACACTAAAATTACTTCCAGAACTTGAAAAAAATTAATTAATATATCTAATAAAGAAAACTTTAGATCTTAGATTTCAGCCATGTACAAAGTCTTCACAATAAGATGTGCCTAGTTATTATTTAAACACAATGAAGCTACAAAATAGAGGGTCTTGTCCAACTCAAGTGTGGGAAGCTTATTTTCTTTCTATTCAGATATGCTACTTTGTAAAATAAAAAAGAAGAAATACTGTGTTCCATAGCTAAATTTCTATGCATTACAGCCCTTAAGCTTATGACAATCAGAAACAGAAACTTTATGTTTGTATTAAATATGTTTATCTCTGTTATATTGTTTATCAGCAGGGTGTTAGTTATATTGTTTATTATAACCGGAAGCTGGCAGTATAAAATGTTGTCCATTTCAGGGGCATGGATTGGCCCTGTGGTAGAGCTCTGGATGTTGAAGTTGGCAAGAAGGGTTTAAATCTATGCAATGCCATAAACTATTCCTTGCACTTTAAGCTATTCATGCATTAGAAGAGTAACAGTTAATCCCTTTGCATGAGTGGTAGGATTCTGCTGACTAGCTGCTTTCCTTTTGAACTGTAGCTCAAAATTAGAGATGGTGACTTTGTTTTATTGGAGCAATTAAATAGTAGCTTTTCCATAGATACAAAATACAGTTCAATTCATATGATTTCACATAAATAAATAAATTATATAAAATGCTTAATTGCTTCCAGGTGTCTCCAGGTCTGAGATTTGGAACTTGTTTAGGAATTTTATTTAATTTTAAAGGCAGAAACAAAAAATTTAATTTTAAGACTGCCTAATTTGTATTTTCTGGACTTCAAATCCATTATTTCCCTCCAGTCTTGTCTCATATAGTGGCTTCTATAACGTTTAAATTGTTATCCTCCAAAACTCAAAATGCCCATCCATCAGCAAGGACTTGGTAACTTTTTTGTAGAAGCATTGATTACGTATGTGTCATGAAGTAATGTGAGGTATTCATAGTTCAGAATTTCCTCTTGTTGTGTGTGTGTGTGTGTGTGTGTGTGTGTTTGTGCTTCTAAATGACAGCTTAAAATATGATATTGTTCAGTGTAATAAGTTTGGCTGTTTCACCTAATTTCAAAAAAAATTCTACTAGTGTAAATGAGTCACTAAAAAATAAACAAGAGGGATCCTCAATAGCTATTTGACCTCAAATCAATCAAGAAATGGAGCTTTGAGCTAAAAGTTTGTACTTGAAAAAAAACTCTGAGCCATTCTATGAGCTGCTATGCCCAGGCTAAAAATAATGTAGCTATTGATATTCAGTTCCATTAAAATGATTTCAGTAAGTGAATAAACAAGTAACCTAGCTTTAGAATAGTACATGATTTAAGTTTTATGAGTATTTCCTGTTATCTTAAGCTAGTTTCATATTTGGTAAGCTAAATTGATAGTACTGAACACTATTAGAATATGTCATTTACTGTAGTTGTAGCTTTTAAGGAGAGAAAGAGAGAGAGAAATATAACTTTCAAAAACAAAAATGTTTCAGTAAAATAAAGCATTAATTATAATACAATATACTTACTACTAGCAAAGTAGTTAACATTTACCTTTTCTTACCTTAAATAAAAGTATTCAACTGTTACCTATAAATACTTGATGAAATATTAAGTTGTAAAATTTTACTTAGTAACTGGAACACAGGATCTAAGTGAAGAGGAGAAACAACAGATCATGATGAGTGAAGAATTCCATAGCTTCTTTGATAAGGCCTCAAGAATTGTTGAAAGAGCATTATATGAAGATATAGACATTTGTGTGGACTATACAGGAATTGGAGAAGAGCAAGAGGGGTAATAAAATATTAGCTATTTTATTGTAAAGACGATCTTAACTTAGAAGTAATAAATTATGACTTACAATAATGATACAACTTTTGTATATTATGCTTATTTTGATGTAGTAAACATTATCACAACATAAAAATTTTTACTTATTTAAATTTTATTGTGACTTGATGCATTTGTATGATTTATTACATTGCAAGTAAACACTATAGTATGAAGTAGTTTGAAACTTCAGAAGAACTTTTTACGGTTTATGTAGCTTCTGCAAATATAATATTTTAAATGCGATATTTTTTATGAGTTTGTGCCTTTGTCAAAAAATTTCATTATAATATGTTTTTTAAGAAACAATTAAAGATGTGTACTTTTGTTGTAGGTTTAAATTACTGATTTTTATGTCTTGTTAAATACTTGTAAAACTTTCCTATAAAGTTTTTATTTTATAAATCTGTAAATTTTATCTTTGTTTTGATTTGAAAAAAAACCACACACAGTTTCACTGTGTTTGCAATCAATACCATACATTAAACTTTTTTTTTTACCATACCAAAAATATAAGCAAATCAACTTTTTTTTAAATTGTTAAACAGAAGGTTCCATTTAATACATAATAAGTTTTAAACCCACTTTATGTTCATTTATATATATATATATATATATATATTTAACATTCCTCTTAAGAGATTTTC